CGGATATGTGAAAACGTATTCACTTCAGAGATACTCTGCATATCCTTTCGCCGAGTAGTTGATGTTCTTTCAATTTTACGACGCTAACAGCTCCATTGCTTTCCTCTGAATATGGCCCTGCTCAAGTGTGCATCGAACTCATTGTTCCTGTTCGCTTTTTTTTTATTCAAAAGACGGGGAGAGTGTCTAACGCCATTTCATTTTGGAGTTGATGGATCTTCGGTACTATTTACCAATTGAATCCAACTGGTGTGTTGTCGGTTCACCTCTCGGTGATGGCGCCGGCAGAGTTGTTTTTGTTCATACACTGGCGATTTGTGATAATCGAGCCAATTCCCAGGGAAGCGTATGCAATGGATGTCCGCGAGCAATGCCTTCTGCTTTTGTAGGAAACCTGCGTCCAAAAATGTGGTTTGAAAAGTCAAATGTAGATGGATTTCGTTAACTTTTTTCTCCAATTTTCCATCTATCGCATGGCCTCCCTCAACGAATCGTATCTTAGTGGTTGTATTCTGATCGAGTTCTCAATTGACTTTGTGAATAATATCTCTTGAAAAGAACAAATCTGAGTCATTAATTTGGAGTTGGAGAACAATTCATTCACTGTACAACAATGTGTATGGCTTTTTTGCCTTTAGAATTGTATCCTCTTTCATATGATTATTTTTTTTAGTACCTGTGAACCAACCTACTTATTTCCAAGCTTTCTAAATCGTTCCTCTCCAGCCCAAACAATTTCCGATTCTGATACCCGTCATTAAAAAGTCCAGTTCGTTCAGTTATTTTTCTTTTATTCAGTCAATCCCCAAGGACCAAGCGGCTTCATCATCGGTTGTCCAGTTCAGCCTAGTGGTGCGTCGACCGGGCGCCGGCTCTAGTGGCATTGGCAGTGGCGGTGGCGGTGCTAGTCGGCCCCGCCTAGTTCCATTGGCGGTGCCTCAGTCTGTACCATTTGCTGCACGTCTTCTTCGCATTGAAGCTGAGGAGCGGGAAGAAAAAGCACGATTGAAAGAACGCGTTCTCGAGATGCACATGGCCCAGAAGGAAGCCGATGAAACCAGTAGGTTGAGTCCTCTCCATCCGTTCTTTCACCTGCTACTTTTCTACCGATCATTGCCTCTGCAGATTGTCTCAACTCCGACCTTCTGGCCCAAATACCTTCAAATGTGAACCGTGACCGGTGGTTGAAGTACAATCATCCTAAACGAGCTCCCGATGCTGAGGCCGTTTTTGGAACCTCCAGGTAAATCATCCACTGGTGTCTATCTCAACCGCCCTCAGAATTTGCTTCTCAAAACTCAGTCGACACTTAAACGTTTGAGTTATCCCACTAAACATTCTCAGCCACCTGGGTAATGTAAAATCGCACTACTACACATCGTTAACCGGTTCACCTACTCAACTGGAAAACCTTTTTTAAGGTTTCACAACAGCATCTCAAACGTCGTCCATTCACAGGTCCAACTATTGCCATTTTTAAGTCCTTAAAATTATTCCCTGTTCAACTGTGGATTTTGTTAGCCATTTTTTGCTTATCGTTGGCTTTGCTGTAGTATCTCCTTACCACCACCACCACCTTCGTATGTCAACTACCGAAACTTCCGGCGGTGATAGGAGCACGAGCACCGACTAAAAGGGAGGGCGAGCAAGCGAAAGAGTCGGAGAGCGAGAGATGTAGACAAGAGTGTGCGCGTTGGTTCTCACAGTGTGTTGCATCAATAGCCTCCTCCTTCTCATCCCTCCTCCAAACCTGCACCAATCCTCCGGGTAGAGGGGGGAGGCTACGAAGTCAAGACGACAGAACAACAGAGCAGTCGAAGATGTTGCAAATGAAGACACCATAGTCTCATTTTAAGGAAAAACTGGGGAAGTTCCCTTTGCTTCCCTCCTCTACTACACCCCACATTTTCCCTACCATCATCTGCACACACACGCTGAACCTGTGCAATCTGCTTGCCTCACCATCTCTTTCCCTCACGTCGCCTTTTGCAACAGCCATCCCGTACCATTCTCTTTTTCACCCTTCATTCAAACATACGTTTATCTGTGCACGAGTTGTACGTAATCAGCAAGTGGTTATACATACCTTACGGTGTAAAAAGTTTGAGTTAAGGGGAAGGAAAAGAGGTGGTAACAATTGTCAAGGGGGAAACTTTTCTGGGCGAATGCAGAGTCGCACATCGTCAGGGAAGAGTTCCACCGCCCTCGGGTGCATGGCTCGATACGTGCAAGTGATTGTTGCCTCCGCACAGCCTGCCACGTCGCCAATTTCTGTAATGAGATGGAAAAGGGAGGGGCTCATTTGGCGCATGATAAAATTCAAACCAAAATTAATCAGGACACCAGCTATGGACGACATACTCCTGAGTTGTCAGAAGTGGCAATATAAACGCTTACGATGCGAGCTGCGGTCGAGGAAAAGGGTGGTTTAGTTGGTACAATCTCACCTCCTCCCCCAGTTAAGGACTCGCGAGACGTCATGCGAGCGGTAGCGGGGGCAAGTGCCTTTGCACAGAACAGCGAGGTACAAGGCCATTAGTGAACAGCTGTGATGTTTTAGGGATAACTAAAAGGCCTTTGGTGCGATTACCAATGTTCAAGAGGTGACATGCAAGAGTGAAGGTTCCCCTATCATGACCAAATACCGTTGTTTCGACTCATCAAGCCTCACCAGAGTTATTAACTCACTTCGTGCCACCGATCGAGTTTGCCTTTAGTGGCTGATTACGTCGTCGGGTAGCAAACAACAGGTAAAAACGCCATTAAATCTGCTCAGCATTAACGCAAAAATAATTGCAAATCGCAAACACCCATTGCACAGCCTCAATCCTTTGATCAATTCCACAACATCCACGACATTCTGCTGCAGTTGTGCACTCAAGTGGAATTTAATTGGTCCGCTTCCGCTATACAATCATAACAAAATGACCACGCGCCCCGATGGGAAAAGGAGCAGCTTTGAGATGAAATCGGTATTTTATAATGCGATTGAGTCACACGCTCTAGTCGTGAAATTAACAGAAGCGTCTTCACGACAATCGATGTCAGCTCAGTTCAAATTTTCCGCAACCAAAGTTATCACTCATAGCAGAAAATTCCCACAAAATCTGGTGTAAAATTAAGTGCCCATCAATTGAAACCTATTACATGATCGATTAAATCATAACTAGGTGATACATTTTAAGTGGATCATTAACCTGACTCAAAAGATAAAAAACAATTTTCCTTACTAATTTTGGGAAAAGAATAGGGCAATAAATCCAAAAATACAACAAATAAAGAGCTGGATGGGGTTACCCTTTTTCTCCTTACGACAACCAAGGGCCAAAGCAGCCATGTAGATAGCAGCAGCAGCCACAGAGACGGGACTTCGTCCAGACACGAGGTTAAGGTTGAGTGCTCGCCGCGCAACTGTGTTGGCCAGCTGCTGAACGGCAATATCGAGGTTAAGGTTGGCGCAAAAACGCGTCATGAAATCTTCCACCGAAACAGAGGCTACATTGGTCTCCAGAGTCTTGAGAATCTTCTTGAATACCTTGCCGATGTCCTTCTTGGAGACCCGTGTCACTGCACACACCTCTGCACAAGAACGTTGGCAAATCCACTGGTATCAGCTAGTGTGTATACACGGGAATAAAATGGAGCCAAAGCTAACCTTTAAATGTCCTGGGTACACCCTCCTGACGACAAGCCATGTAAAGACAAGCAGTGGAAACGGCATCGTTACTTCGCCCACGGAGGTTTTTAGTTTCGTAGACTTGTTTAAACAGGAGGTTGGCGTGATCCTATATTTACAATCTAGCGCTTATGAGAGTTAAACACCAGTAGTTATATTAAATAAATGTTTTGCATCGAACAATGAACAGCGAACATGTTCTAAAGAGAAAGATCACACCTCCATGACGCGCAGACAGTTATTACCCAAACAGATATGCTACAGCATAGACATCCGAGGCTTAGGTACCAACATAAGGCGAATAAGAGCAAATGCTAAAACAAAAAAGCTGACACTGCTTTAATCAAACTTATCGCACAAAAACTCAGTTTTAAGGGCATCAAAAGACAAAATTTGACTAGAGATGTCTTGCGCTAGTGAGAAATCACAATGCTCGATTTCAAAGAAATGTATTGCAGCATGAGAAGTCACGATTCCATACCGATATACTTTTGGGGAGATTAAGCCTTTCTGCCATTTGACTTATTTCTTTGAACGCATTTATGAGCGCACGATCAGATCCTGATACGTTACGGCGGTTGCGGTAAAGGGCCCTTCCCTGTTCGTCGAATTGACGCATATCATTATAGGATGTACCACTAATCATGGTAGAAAGATCTCCCCCATCAAAGAGAGGGTTTTCAGCAGCACCAACTCGAGACATGTCCTTCGCGTTTGCGTCATTTGAGAAAGTTCGCCACTCCGAACCCACGTCGATTACTCTCTCGGCAACTACAAGGCCACACATTGAGCAAACCATGTCTCCAGCGTGAGAATCTTCGATTAGCGTAGCATAAGGATGGTATTTGCATTCAACTTTACTCCTAGAGATCCATGAAGAAAATCACAACTCACATTTCACCACCACACAAATGCGATTCGATTTAATCACCGACTAAACAGCTCAAACAATCTGAAATAGTAAGATGCTTGCGAAATTTAAAAGTTTTCAATCAATAAGCATTCATTTCACAGTCAAAATTAGCACTTTACGCGATATAATTTATCAATCATTATTGTCTCGTAGCCCAAATTCATTCCTGTCCTCTCCGTTTTTCAACAGTTCAAAACTTGTCCTCAGTTTTCACACATAACAGTAATATCATACGTATGTGCTTCCAGAAATCTAGATTTATTCATCTCTACTATCTGCCAAAATTTGCTGTGATTTTGAAGCGACTTTGTTTACCCGACCAAAAGATTTTAGTCTTTAAAGTAATTTGGGGTTAAATACTTTTCCGGTGCTTCAAATTAATGAATTTTCATTTTTTATTTTTCTAAGCTTTGTGCGTTCCTGCATCAGGAACCTAAACTAATTTTGCAAATGCATTTATGATTCGCATAATATCATTCTATATTTCATATTCTACTTTTTCTTGACAATTTTTTTTAACATTCCGCCTTGTATGAACCGGTAGGGTTGTCGCATCTCCGCGATCTCTCATTCGGAATCTGTTAAGGGATGAGACTTTCTTTCGTTCTTCCCGATGGACGTCTCATTTCGCTTGATACTCCCAGTGATACACTTATGTGTAGTCTCAGACTAATGGTTTCCATTGAGGCAGGAGTACTGGAGTCAAACACTGTGTTGTTGAAAAATGATCAACGTCTGACCATTGGGCCAAGCAATACAGTTAATGATTGCAACCTTCATGACGATGACCTCCTCTCTGTACAGTTTGAGGGGTCAGGGTTAGCTGTCAATGTAAGAGGAGGAGTTTCTTTTACACTTTTAAGAATCCCTTACCAGGCTCTGCAGCTGCCTTTCCTGGTTCTTCAGGATCAACCAATCCCCTGGAAAGCGTTTCTACCGTAGAAGCCATTCGACAGTCATTCTTGCGGCTTCCAGATCAACAGTTGACTGGGATTCGCGAGCGAGATCCCCGGTTCTACGAGGCCTTACAGGATTCAAGTATTTTAACTCCGTTAAACTTTTCTAGTTACATGGATATGCACCTAACCTAGCTCCTTTTCCCAATCCTATTGCTGAAAGCGTATGGCTCTTTTTGTTATTTTCACAGTAGTTTTTTGTGCAAATGTATGCTGAAAAACGCATGGCTAAGGTTGAAACAGTAAGTTTGAGTTTTAGTTCTATAGGTTATAAGATCTACACGCTCTAAATCCTTAGCAGCTGTGGACGTTGCCAGTTTTAGTGCTATGTTGCGAAGGTGGAGATATGTTGATGTATAAACCTTTCTGTGCTTTGGAAATCTGGCACTACCTACCTCTGAAATTGCTTTAGGTGCATTTTGGCGTTATTCTCAAGCGATTCGATCTGCAGAATCTGATATTGATTTGACATTTGCTGATACATTGAATCCTGAGGTACAGCGCCGAATCGAGAGGGTTATCAGGTAACCATTTTGTTCTTCTTCCTTCTTCCCCATTTGGTGAATTGGGTCTTAACAAAAGACACATTTATCTCATTAATTCTAGGCAGAACAACATCGATCGCGAAATGGAATCTGCAATGGAGCACTATCCAGAGACCTTTGGTGCCGTCACAATGCTATATGTGGCCTGTGAAGTGAACGGCTTTCCCATGAAGGCTTTTGTCGACTCCGGTGCGCAAACAACCCTCATGAGTCTTTCCTGTGCTCGCAGTTGCAATCTTGAGCATTTGATCGATAAACGTTTCCAGGGCATGGCCTATGGTGTTGGAACTCAAAAAATCATCGGTCGAATTCACCAGGCACAGCTCAAGCTCGGTGGCACTGCAGTCCCCGTAGGTCTCATTCTTGGATCAGTTTGTTTGCTTTATTCTTATTCCGTATATTTAGTTGGGATTGATTGATCGAATATTGTAAGCATTTCTATTCATCATTCACAACGTGATAAGTTTTGTTAATTTTTAACTTTCCCCTTCCGCCCTTCTAGACTTCATTTATCGTGCTAGAGGAACAGCAGATGGACATAATGATAGGACTGGACATGCTGAAGCGTCACAGATGTTGTATCAACCTTGCTGAGAATGTCCTCACTGTGGGCGATCACACTAGTGTGCCCTTCCTCCCCGAATCCGAGCTGCCAGCCTTCGCTAAACCCTCCAACTTTGGCCTTGTCCCGCAAGTAGCCCCTAGCTCTGATGAGGTCTGTTATTTACCCTCTCCCCATGCGGCCTGTTGGATATATTATTTTCCAAGTGTTGAGTGCTGGTCAAGGCTGTGGTCGCATTGTCTTAGCGTCATTTAAAAACCTTAAAGTTGTTTGATAGTGGTAGGATGGGTGGTAGTGGTGATTGTATGAAGTAAGTGAATAATGCGTCACGTCTTTTGAGATTGTAGCACACATGGGTGGGTCGGGCGTGATTATGTCTATCATGGTACTAGCTATTGCATCACTATTTCATCCACTTTTTGTGTTTTGAAACTCAGACGATTTGATTGATTTGATATGAGAATGCTTGAGCATTTGAGTGATGGTTAGCAGTATTCCACTTTCTGTAAATTAGTTTCATTTTTGTTTGCATTTTGCAGCTTCAATCGGCTTGATATTTTGTCATTAATCCTGTGTTGTGTGAATTATGCTTGAAGGCATGATCTTTAACGGGATTGCGCTATTTCTAAAGGAGTATTGCATCAAGATATCAATTGCTCCAATATTGAGCTGCACATCTGCTGTTTGTTTGATCCTTCTATTATGTCTCGGATTTCAACGTCTCATAACGAACATTTGTTATCTTCTTTGCTGATTTGTTTGTGTCAGTCTCCCTTGAGTTGCTAGCATTATCATCCTGAGTACAAATTGAATGCGAGCCGGTTATTGGTATTTCGGTGGGAATATTTTGCCTTAATACTGATTAGACATAGAACATACGGCTACTCGAAGCATGTCTTAAGCTTCTAGTGAATGGCTTTCTTCCTTGGTTCTCTTTGAAGTAATCAAACTCCGCGAACTTGTACAATTCTTCCAGTATAAAAACTGTTGCTGGTACCCTTGCTCTGCTGATAAAGTAGTGCCTAC